CCCGATGAGGAGCTGCTTCTGCCTGCGCCGGGGGAGCCGCGACCCGCCGCCCGCCGCCCGGGCAACAGTTAAGTGTCCGTGCAGCCGCCGGGCCCCGCTCCCGGCCCCGCCATCTCCGGTGCTGCGGTGCCCGGCGGCTCGGCCTGGCCGCGGGGAGGGAGGGAGAGAAGGGAAGGGAAGGGAATGGAGGAGCGGCGGGACTCACTCGGCCTTGGCACCGGGCGAGACGAGCGGGCTGAGCCGCGGAGGATCCCGGTGGATCGGCCCGGGCCGGCAGGGCTGTCAGGGCCGGCAGGGCTGTCAGGGCCGGCAGGGCTGTCAGGGCCGGGCGATGCGGGGTCCCGGCTCCGGGCCCGGGGCAGAGCGCCTCGGTGCCTCCGTGAGAACCCGCGGCTCCTCCGAGGCGGGGGTGGCTGCCGGAACGGGCTCGGGGACCATCCGCGGGGTACAGCCTCGGTGACCTTGAGCTGCTCTAGAATKGACTGTAAATTCTTCTTGGTGACGGTTAGAGAAAATAACAAAACCCCCCTCTCTTTTGTGTGGTCTCTTGCTGCCTTTGTAGCATGGGTGTACCCGACTGCCCATTTCTCACCTGTGCTCAGTGCATGCCTCCAGGTATGGCATGGCTGGCTTATAGYGCTGGCCAGAGCAGCGACACAGAGTTACCTGTGTGTGAAGTACTCGCGTCTTCCATCACCGAGGCCTGCACGCTTTCTCTGAGGTTTCTGGGAAGATTTTCAAAGGTCCACCAAGCCTCGGGGTTCCTGCACGCTCCCAGAGCTGGGGCATTCTTAGCTTGGTCACAGTAACACTGCARCCAGACAGGCCAGATGTCAGCAGGTGTGCAGCTGCTCAGGCTAAAGCTTGGGTTTCTCCATTTTGTGTTTGATTTTAACTGAGTGAGAACATGCTCGTTTATTCTTTAGCAAAGCCATGTGTTGTTCGGCAGGTCAGCAGTGTCATACCTATAATTTTTAGCTGAGATAGCCTTCCATACTAGATGAAGGCTTAGCTTGAGCTTCTGGAGATGTGAAATAGAACACACAACATCTTACTCTTGTACCATGAATGCTTCTCTGACAAAGCAAATCCCAGGCTCAACGGTGGCTGTAGCCTCCAGGTACCTGTTCATACCTCTGCCAAGATAGAAATAACGAGATAGAAGTAAATGTCATTTCAGTTATTTTTCCCTGGTGCAAGGTCATGTGTGTGTGGAAACCTATTTTGGTTTGAAACAGGACACTTCAGAACATATGTGTCCATAGTTAGAAGTGCTGTGAAGCAATGCAGGGTCTCAGTTTTGCTGGTTCCATCATTGAAGTTCCTGTTTCCATCCCATTCAGTCACAAAGTGCACATTTTCCAGCTGGTACAGCGCAGCTGTCTCCTATGGAGCCTGTGTGCAGGGGTGATYACAGGCATGCCTTCCATGGGGTGAAATGTGACACTGAAATGGTTCCTGTTTGTGATGGTGGCCTCCAAGGCCCTGAGTCTGATTGCCACTGCGGGCTCCCGTTTTTCTGTTAAAGCTATGTGCTATTTGATGAACAGAAAGAGAAGGTTGGCTGGGGCTGTGTCCTGTTCCCGGRCACGGTGGGAGGTGTGGGTGTGCGGAGGAGTGTGGCACTGTGACTCGAGTTGTGCCAGCAGTGTGAAGGGACGGAGCAACAGGAGCAGTGAGCAGGCACACGAGACACAAAGCGTGGCTGCTTTGTTCTATGGGACTGTTTCCCACAGACTGCAGSGACWCAGGAGGTAGTTGATKTTTTTATTTTCCAGWTTTTCCTTAGCTGATRCTTTGCTGCCTGTGGGAAGAGCAAGTAAGTGTCAAAGTGCAGGGCTTGTAGTTGGAGGAAGGAACAATRAGAACATTCTCCCTCCAAGTCCCTGGCTATTTAACTTAAGAGCTTGACCTGTTTTGCTGGCAGCATGACGTTTCTGTCACAAATACATTGAAAGGCCTGATCTGCTCATGTACCCATCAGCTCTTGAACTTGCTGAACTTGTTGAAAAGAAACACTGAGAGCAAGAAATGCTCTAGGAACGCACAATAATGCATTCATTTCTGAATGAGGGTTCTTCTGCTGTGTATGTGTCCCAGCCAGATCCCAGCAGTGCGTGTGGTCAGTCACCTCRGTGGAGCCAGTAGAAAAGTATGCCTAGGATAAACTAATAAAGGCAGATAAGCTAACAAGGGAACGTGAGAGAACAAGYGAAAAGGGTATAAACAAACTTGGGAGTGCTGGCAGAAGGGGAGGTGTGTGTGACTGTGAGCATGGCCTGTGGGAAGAGGGCTGTGCCAGAGCCTGGCAGAGTCCCAGAAGGGCTCTCCTACAGCGGGGCATCAAACTCCTGCCTTGAGYCATGGCTGGTACAGGGCTGGGAAGCGTTCAGGACAGAGCCAGCAGCATGGCTGCTTGTCCCAGTGAGCATGTCCATCTCCTCCTGCAGCCATCCCACCCTGCTCTGCTGCCTGCTGCCTCAGGCCAGCGCTGGCAGGACGCTCAGGAACTTTTTCTGTTAGGCACACATTGTTTCCCCCCTGGCTTTGTCCCAGAGGCCCCACAGCATTCTGAAGCTTCTTCCTGCCCCAGAGCTCACATCCGGCTTCCCTTGGCTGCTGGGGTGTGCTGGGGACTGGATGTGGCCCTGCAGCTGAGAACCACCTCCAGGGAACATGCTCCCAACTAATGGGAAAAATGTTCTTGTGATTGTTTTGGCCTGTTCCCAGAATGACCCTGCAGTGAGCGGTTCAGCACAGGCAGCTTACTGCAGGATGCTGAGGAGCCATGTCCTGAGCAGAGTGCTCAGCCACAGGATGGTAGATGGGCATGCAGGGCAAACTCACATTGCTTAAGAGAATTGAAATAACAAGCTGCCTAATGAAAGTATTTACAGAATTCTGCTTCTTAATTTAATCTCCTTTTTCTCTGTTTGTATTTTTATTTTTAAGTTTAAAGGTGCAGTAGAAAAGAAACCAAACTTGGTTGGCACCCTCGGGGAGAGGTGCAGTGTAACTAATCGTCTGTGTGGTTGTTCAGCCAGAGACWCCCCTCTGACTTGTGCAGAGTTCACAAAAACATTTATTGCAGTGTGCAAACTGCTCCATATCTGTTCCAGAGCATCCCCAGTACCACCTGCACAGCAGGAAGCTGGGCACAGGAAGGTGCTGGGCACAGGAAGGTGCTGGGATCACTGGGCACAGGAAGGTGCTGGGCTCACAGGAAGGTGCTGGGCTCACAGGAAGGTGCTGGGGCACAGAGGGCACAGGAAGGTGCTGGGCTCTCTGGGCACGGTGCTGCTCAGGGCCCTACGCCGGTGCTGACCCACGTTACCCCATGGTGAGGCAGAGAGCCCCATGCCCAGCGCTTCCCCATAGAGGGGCTTTGTGTGAGCCGGCACAAAGCGAGGATTGATGCAGTTTCCCCACCCCCTCCCGTGCCGAGCAGGGCCATAAATGACTCCCACAAAGGTGCCCTTCTTYCTTCACTGAGAGCWGGRTGCCAGCAGGCTGAGGGGACTGCTCTGCAGCACCGTGTTGTGGGTGGGAGCACTCGCCCCGCTGCTGTGCTGGTGCCAAGGTTCCCCTTGGTTCCCCTGGTCCTCAGCCTTGSCCAGGCTGACCTGGCAGCTGCTCTGGTTGCTGCTGGGGCAGCTGGGCCTCCCTGCAGCTGGCTGCAGCATGGTGAGCTGGGCCTGGGCAGCATTCTGCAGCAGGCACTTCACCAGGGTGCGTTTGCTGGAGGCCAGAGGGTGAGCAGATCTGCTTCCTGCAGTGCGGCTGCAGCTGTGTTGGAACTTGCCCTGTGGTGTTCTTAACAAGCTGGGGAATATCATGGCTTACCTGCATTTCAGTTCAAAAWGGCCTAAGAGAAGCTTATGTCAGCATTCATTATCTCCCAGCTCCTCCCAATGTGTAGTAACAAGTCACCACACTATTGAGAGTGACTTGAAACAGTTTCAGAACATGTTCAYGAAGAACAGATTGTAAATTCTTTGTTACATTGACATTATGATTTTTCCATGCTGTATATTTGAGGCTCTGCATTATTTGCGAGGCATCTGGATGAGCTGGTGGGGTGTCGTGGGGTCTGTTGTGGCTGTGCCAGTGCCTCCAGCGTTCCTGCAGCAGGGTCCTGTGCTCCTTGCCTGCCCTGAGGACATGGAACCTGACCCTGTGGCTCAGGCTCTGCTTCCCATCATGATTTGAGCTGCTTTGGGAGCGAAGAGGGTTCAGTTTGCTGGATGTGTGTCTGGGTACTAAAGCAGAGCTTTCTCCCCAGTTTGTTTTATCTCAAATAGTGTTTGCACCATTACTGGTCACTGGCATCTGTTGTTTTGGACTCCTCAAGTAGTCTGGCTATTCATATGACGTTATTATTATTTACATAGGGCCCAGACTTGCTCTTTTTTATTGCCTGCAGCACGATGTTTGTTCAGACTGGGCATTGTGAAGTGTAAACCCAGGTCCCACTGGCACCAGTACTCACCTCTGCCTTTTCTAGAAGCAGTAAGTAACCAGCCATCTAAATGGCCTAGAAATGCCGGGGTTTGATTGCTCTGAGGAGGGAATTGAGTTAGGCAGCTCTGGTTCRTGGCTTGTCTGGCTGTGCAGCAGTGATGCTTGTTTACAAAAAGCACTGCCCTTTTATCTTGGGGGGCGTGTGGGGGGCGGTTTCCTGGGGCATTCCTGCCTGAAAGCCAGAGAAGACTTGCTTTAACTGGCTGCCTCTGTAGGAGACCACAGGCTGAGGCAGTGGCACCTTTCCCCATCCTCCACCTCGGTTTTTCAGCCCGTTTCTTGTCCTCTCCTCCTGCTTTCTGCAGCAGCATCTCTCCGAAATTGGTTGGTCTTACCTGCTTCTGTCCCTTTTGCACAATTCCCTCCCTGACGTTCTCGGTGGTGTGTCTCTTCTGGAAGATGCTCAGGCCTCCTCCAGGCCTCTCTGCTTTGCACCAGCCCACCCTGTGCTTCTCCTGTGTTCCCTGGTGTTGAGGCTCCCTGCAGTGCGGTTCTGCATCCAGCGCCAGAGACATCTGTGCTGCTCCTTGAAACGTCTGCCTGAGGGGCTCTGATGGGACTGAAGACTCATGGGGGAGCCCCCAGCATGTCTTAACACCCATAGTGGATGGGGAACCTCCCTCTAAAGCCATTAGGAGCAGATTTTTTGCTGTTTAAAATRACAGAGCTGCTTCAACCAGCCTCATTTGGGGATGAAATTTGTTCTCTTTCTGGRAGGGAAGGGATTGAGCTTTGGTTTTCCTGTCATTGCTAGATGGAGACCAGACCATGGAAGCAGCAAAATGAGTCTCAGAGGCTGCCAGCCCAAATTTCAAACCTATTTGGCATTGCACAAGTGTATCCTCTTAYCAAAAGCAAATGAAAGTGCAGAAGGTGTGTCTGGCCTAATCCTGTGTTTACCATGGCTGTCTGTGGTGTGTCAGCACAGGCACTGTGGCATGCATGTGTGCTCTGGGTTCTCTGGCTGCTGCTGGGGTGTGCTCAGCAGTCCTTTAATTGTGCTCCTTCCTTGYAGGATCAGTCCATGATGCCCGAGGTGCGAGATCTCAGCGATGCCCTGCCCGAGCTGCCCATGGATCCCATCACGGGCGTGGGTGTGCTGGCATCCCGGAGCCGAGCCCCCACGGGATACGATGTGGTAAGAGAGCTGCTGCAGCTGCTGCAGCTAATGCATTGCTTCTGCACTAATGAGCCTTTGCTTTGTTGGGAGCAGCATCTCCTCCAGAGAGAACTTGTGGGCAGGCATTTGCTGCCCACCTTTCAGGCCACAGCACTCAGTGCTTCCCTTCAGCAGAGGGCTGTGGGAGCAAGTGTGCCACTTCATGTGTGCCACTCCAGAGCAGCTTAATTTCCTGGAGGAGGGGTTTTCAGAAATAGCTGGCCACTGTGGCATGCAAATTTAATAATCCTAGTAACATTCATCCTGAAGGAGTCCTAAGTATTGTACAAATTATATCTCTAAATAAATGGATCCCGCATCAGCTGTTTAATCCCACATATCAGCACTACACAATGATGATGAGAAGCTCCAGAATGGGAATCAAAGAGTTTTGTATCCAGCTGGAATTGCAAGGATGATTTGGATAGGCAGAATGCAAATCTCTAAACTGAGGTTTGGCGGGAGACTGGCAGCAGGRAGAGGCAGCTGAATACAGCAGAGATCAATGTGTGAATACATAAAGGGGTGTGACTGTTCAACAGCTGCTTGTTCCTTGAATCAGTTGCTGTGTAACCAGCAGCAGGATGTTTCTTCTGAAGATTAGTGTCCCAAACTGTGAAATATAAAATACTGACCTTGCTGAGCTCTATAGAGAAAGGTTTGGCCTGTAGTTCATCTGCTCCCTTTTCTATGTGTCCTGCTCCTATTGTGCTACATCACACCTTGGGTTTCCAGAACCACACAACTTCTGTGGTGGGAGTGGAAGCCAGCTGACTTGAGGCTTTGCTCACACCTCCTCAGCTCTTTGCATACTTTATTCAATGTGAAGAAACAAAATGGATCAAGCTGAGGTAAGGATGCAAGGTGGGGAATTATGAAAAGGCTCCTTAAAGATCTGGGAGGTTTTTTACATTTACTGTGTTTTTCCAAGTGCTCATTACCTGTGTGAGCCAGGCTGTGTAATTAGTTGCTTGCCCCCTGATAAAGAAGCACGGGACAGTGTGAGACTTGTGATAACAGAATTGCATTTTGCCTAAATGGCTGGGCAGAGAGAGCGCTCACCCCAGATAGTCTGTCTGTGGCTTAATRGGGAGTTGAAGCACTAACACAGGTTAAACAAGATAAAAGAGTCTTGCTGTGGCTTAATCCAATTAYGGTGGTGGTGTAATGCTGGTGAATGTGGGTCGCTCTCTCCTCAGGGCACAGTGTGGAGCTGCCTTTGCTCTGGTTCTGCTGTCTCACTGTGTGTTCACAAAGAGCCCTCAGAGCAGGCTGTGGGGCAGTGCTGCTGTCCCTGTGCTTCTCCTCAGACAGGCTGTGGGGCAGTGCTGCTGTGCTTCTCCTCAGACAGGCTGTGGGGCAGTGCTGCTGTCCTTGTCCTCAGAGCAGGCTGTGGGGCAGTGCTGCTGTGCTTCTCCTCAGATCAGGCTGTGGGGCAGTGCTGCTGTCCTTGTCCTCAGACAGGCTGTGGGGCAGTGCTGCTGGCTGCTGTCCTTGTCCTCAGTGTGGCTCCAGCACTGACCCTGTCAGGCCAGCAGTGCACCTGGCTGATGCCTCCACCCTTGGTGTCCTGTGCCCCAGGGTGAAGGGGCCATGCTGAGTGTCACCCTGATGTGACAGGGGACAGTGGCATGCAGGACTGTGCTGCTCTTGCCTGTTTTGTGAAGGTGGCTGGTCTGTGAGTCAGTGCCCTGGAGCAGTGTGTGTATGCCAGGTTGCCACTTCTCCATGGGCTCTCTGGAATCTGCTCTGGCCTGGTGGAAGCATGAAGCCTAAAGTGCATGAGTGCATTGCTCAGAGCAGCAAAGAAACTGCTCTGAGACATGGGCAGTGTGCAGACCTGGGTGATGTTGGGATGTGTGCTTCTCCAGATACACCATTTCCTTAGTGAGACACTGGCTGCTGTAAAGCCTTGAGGAAGGCAGTTGTGGCAGGTGCATCCCGAAGCGTGCTCCCTAAAACCCTCCTAGCTGSAGGTGCACACTGCACTCTGGAAAGGAGAATCACTCTCATCTTTTGGGATGTTTCYTGAGATGTTGTAGTCCTCTTAGGGATCCAATGGCGTTTGTGTCACTACAGCATCCTGCAGCTTTCAGTTGCACAGGTGSATTCAGAGTTGCATGGTAAAGTATTTCTTCATGTAGTTTCGCTGATGGTTTCAAGTTTTGCAATGAAGTACCCAGCTCTTTCTGAAACGCCTGTGTTATTTACAGGCTTTACCAGTTCCCCTTTCATATGTATCCTTCTCCAATAAACAACTTCCTTTTCCCTTTCATCCTCTKTAAAAGAAATCCTCAGAGGCATGGGTACTTCATCCCAGATGTAAATTAAATGTCTGGAGATGTCCAGGTCCATTTGCCAGGTTCACATGGAGCCCCAGAGCTCAGCCCTGCTGCCCATCCAGGGATGGCACGTGGCTGTGCCTGGGAAGGTGTCTTGGCAAATGGGCCAGAGATCTTTCTTCCTCTGTAGTTCTTTAGTTACTCCATAATGTCTATTGCCTTTGTGTTTGCTTAGAAAACAAACACACTACTGGCACTTGTAATGACTGGCCGAGCCTTCTCACATCTGAAGCACCAAAGACTTCATTTTGCCAAAATATACAGTGTGTCTGAACTTAGATTCCTGAAAATCCGACCAAACTGGCAAGACTGAGTGTCTGGGCAGGGAGGAGAGGTAGGAGGCAGAGCCTGGGGTAGGAGGAGGTGTGGTTCCCATGCAGCTGTGTTCTTTGCTGCAGGCTGAGCACCAGCTGCATGGTGGGGTTTGCTCTGGGGCAGAACCTGAGCAAGCTGCTCACAGCAGGAGCAGCCCTGACTCTGCCACAGGGGTAAATCTCCCTGTTGGAGCAGGGAGTTTAAAGGGCCCCTTGCTGAAGGGCTGGCTGKGGTAGCAGTAACCCCATTCTGACTGCTGTGGAGCAGCACAGTCCTGTGCTGTACTTGCTGGGGTGTCAGTGCCTTCCTGGTGTCACTCTGTCAAGGCCATCTGTTCGAGGCACWTGGCTGAGGAGTGTCTCCCCCAGCTCCATGAGGACAAGGACCATTTCTTGTGCCCGGGCACTGGGTACTCAGTGCCAAGTGCCATATCCTCTGTCTGGCACGTTCCTTGCCTCTGAGCCAAGGGCAAGCTGGGGCTGCAGAGTGCCTGTCCTGCTGGCCAAGTCTGCTGTGGCCTCTCCCACTTGGCTCCTGTCCCGAGGGCATGCTGCTCAGGCACAGCTCTGCTTCCAGAGCTGCTGGGCCTTCTCCTTCCTTGCAACAGCCCACCAGGTGATGCAAGAAGTTTCCTGTTTATATTGCTCTGCTTACTTTCCCCATCAGTTTTCCAACAAGTTCATGGGTGTTTACATTCTTCAGGCTCAGAAAAGGTCTTCAGTGGGATGATGTGAAGGCAGAGCACTCAGGGTGCATTGCTGGGGAAGTTGCCTGCAACTGTTACACTTTGACAACTAGAATTAGATATTTGATGCATTAGAACGGCAGGGCTTTTCATGACAGAGAGTTTGGTTGGAGGTTTAGAGGTGTTCTCCTTGTTAGGTTGGATTGTGGCAGTGCCAGATCTCCCTGCAGAGGGGCAGCAGTGCCAGCACGAGGGCCCTTCAGATGGCTGGGCTGTGATCCGGCTGTGCCCTGCCAGGGGTGGGGAAGATGATACTGATTGATGTGATATACATCCACCTCAAAAATGTGGTGTTCTTGTAAGTCGTGAAGTCCCTTRAGTTTGAAGAGGTTAGATAAAAAGTGCATTTGATAGCAAGTTGTAGCACCAGTTTTGCAGTTGGATATGTTGCTGCCTGTTGATTTTTGGGCATCTTAACAAAACTGGCTAGCACAAAACTTGAATCATATCAATTAACAAAGTGAAGAAATCKGGGTCTAGTCCTTCTGTTTCCCACAAGGTCTGGAGTTCAAGCTGGCTGTTCATATATGCCAACAGGTTTCCCAAGCAGACTGTTTCCTGAATACCACCAGGACTGACTCTACCTGTTGGGGAGGGAGATGTATGTAGATTTTACATATCCCTAAACCAGCATTTCAGGAAAGATTTGAATTCAAGGAATTCAAATAAGCAAAAAACTTCACCAAAGTTCTGTTCTAAAATATGACTGTTTAAAAATCAGGCATGTTTGTTTGCACGAGCGTGAACACAAAAGCTGCGTGTGTTGTGCAATGGCTTGAGCTGAGCTGGGGTTTTTGAASAGCAGTTGCCCAAATTTGAGGAGCAGTCAGTGCACTTTGCTGCTTTGATCAGGCTGTAAATGTGCATCTCTGCTGCACTCAGGATAATCGGGGCCTTGTCAGCACACAGCTYTTGCTTCCTGCACCCTGCACAGTCTCTGCTCAGCTAACAGGGGTGTGAACAGTGCCAAGAAGTGTCAGCTCTTTGTTATCAGCTGCTCTGGGGCCAAGGGCTCCTCAGTGTGATCAGACTCACAAGAGCTGCAGTGGAGCACTTTGCCCCATGTGAGAGGCCTTGGGCAGAGGGTCAGAGGTGCTTCTGTGGAGCCTCAGACCCTGCTGGAGTCTCCTGTCACAGACGTCAKTTGGGTGTCAGTCTGACCTTGTTCCTGCTCCCCTTCTTCTTGTGTTTGCCTTCTTGTCTCCTCTCTTACTCAACAGCAAGCATTTTGGGACCAGGGCTCTTTCCAGCTTGCTCTGTGCGTGGTGAGTGCTCAGCTGCTCAGAGTAGAGCCCTTCCCCTCGCATGGTGCTGCCTCCTGCCACTCCTTGAAGCAGCTTGAAGTGACATTTTCTCCTGCACATCATGCTGTGGAGGGTCCAGGGTCTGTGTCCTTACCCTGCACCATTGTGTGCCATCAGTTTGGCTGGATGTGGGGTTGGTTGGAGAGGGACATTTGCAGGCTGTGTCCTTGCATGCAGCACTGCTGCTAAAGCCCACTAATGGCCAGGGAAGCAGCTTTTTGACCTGGGAGCCAGAATTCCATGGAGACTTTCTATGAAAATAGTCCCAAGGTGGCTGAGTTTCTGTGCTCTATCTTCATGAACCCTCACAGTGTGCCCAGTGTGCCCTTGCATATAGGGTGGTAATGAGTGCCTTAATGTGCTGACTTTTCCAAACTATTGTTTGGGGAATGTAACCGAAGTTGCAGTTTCCTCATTAGAGTAGCCTTTGTCAGAGAATCTTTAATCAAGTGTCCCCCAAGAGACAGCATTTTTAGAACTTCTTTTTATACCTCCTCTTGAAAGTTCTTTGCACTGCACCTTGTGAAGAAACTAATGAGATGCTGTGAAAGTTGGGGCTGCTGTTAATTAGGAGAGGTCTGAGGAAGAAGTACTGCACCTGTATTAACTTTATCTTGGCTCACATGTCTCCTCTCTCCCTCTGTCTGTTSTTTGCAGGTTGCACAAACAGCAGATGGCTTGGATGCTGACCTGTGGAAAGATGGCTTATTTAAATCCAAGGTCACACGGTACCTGTGCTTCACGAGATCATTTTCTAAAGAAAATGTAAGTCTGTTTGCTGAATGTCTGCATGATTTGCATCTGTGCCTGGTATGCTCTTACCCATAAGATGATTCATTTTATGGAGCCAATTATAATTCAAGCAGGCGTTTCACTCAGTTCGGGTGAGTAAGGAKGCAAACTGCAATGGCAGGATATTTGCATTTTGCCTGTGTTTCCCATGGAAAGAAATTGCTGACAAAATCTTCTGCAGTAAGAGAAGCAGAAAAGGGAATGTTTGCATTTTGGCAGCCTCTCGCACTTGTTTACTGCTGCAGCAATGGGTGCTGCACACTCATGGTGCTGATGGATTCCTAACCCAAATTACCTGAAGAGACACACACTGCAGGTAGTGTTGGTGAAGGAAATGTTGGTTTCTGAATCCAGGRCATCATGTATATTTTATTGCAGAATTAGCTTGCTTTCTTTGTTGGTTTTGGTGCTGATTCTTGATAACGTGGCAACATTGTGCATATGCTACCACATTCTTGTAATCTGGTCTGACTATTAAGTATAAGTGACTTATACTGTGTGATTAGCAGCTGTTGTCTGCCCACACTTTCTGTGGAGGAGAGGAGACTGTGTGCAGCAAGAGCTTCCTGCGTTCTGCTGCAGTTTGGCTTGAGGATACAGTGCAAACTTTCTTTTTCTGGAGGAATTGTTGGCTTCTGCAATGAATGCACTCCATCTAGTGGGTAATCTGCTTTTGGTCGTGCTTTGTGTATTCACGGCACTCCATTGGCAGGGTCTGGAGGTACCATTTTGTACTGTGCTTTCACTGTGACAGAACAGAGAAGTGATGGCAGCTTCAGAGCTGCTCACGGGTCCTGGCAGAAGAGCTGGGGCTTGTCAGCTCCCAGCATTTGACTTATTCCATCCACCTTCCTGCCTGCCTCTAGATTAAAGTAAAGCTCCAGAGCTCGGGGAAATACCACTCTGTGGGTGGATTGACAATAATTGTGTTTTGCATCCTGCAGTACATGCAGTTGCATGAATAGCAGCCTGGAATAGGCAAGGAGGTTGTTAAATAGGTTTGGGTTGATTTGAATATTAGATTTATCTGTGGCTACCTGAAATGTGAAGTTGTCAGAAATAATTACAGGACAGTAGCAGGGCTGGCTGCAGTGACGGTGTAAATACCCTCAGTTGGTGCCTGTTGGACTTTTGGCAGGTACCCTGGGCTCGGCATGGTTTGGGAGTATCTTGTTCATATTGGTGAGACATGAGTTAAAGCAGAAGCTTCCCCTTCCCTCAGTCCTCTTGGCTCAGGGGGTATATGATGGTGCTGTGCTGTTGGGGACATCTGAGGCCTAAAGCACCTCAGTTCCTCATCTGGGAGGAAAGGAGGTGGGAGGCTGCTTTCTCTCCCCTGGGTGCTGATGTGTTCTGCACTTTGGAACTTTTACCATACAGGGGTTTCTTTTGTATTTAGCAAAGCACTTGGAACTCTTTGTCCTCAAGAACGTGTTGTAGTAAGCAGAGTTAATGCACCTCAGATATTTGGGTTATAGCAGAGTCAGTCTACAGTGTCTGTTTAACAGAATCATCATTCTCAACCGTTTTCAGTGTCAAACATTTACAAGGACRTTGCTGTATCTGAGTGTGGGGATGAAGTTTTAATTGTTTTGTGTAGTGTTTCTATTAAAAAGGCTTTGCAGTATCTAAAAGGTGTTCTTCTTTCATATGTCAACCCAGACTCCTGGCAGCAGTGCTGGCTTCGTAGAAAGCTGSACAGAAAATCCGATCTCTAAACTGTTGTGGAGGCTGTCACTCTGAATTGTGCTCTGAGCTCTTCAAGCCTTGATTAACAGGACAAGGCATGAGTTCAAAATTCATATGGACTCCAAATGAAGTTCTTTGTTCCAAATGGCCTGTGCTTCTGGAATGCACTGCATTTGGAGCTAGAACCCTGTCTTCAGTACTAATTAGCTAATGCATGTAATAACTTTGGCTGTTTGTGCATCAGCCATCATCCTGTAGTGCTTTCTGCTGTTACTGTCATGGAAATGTTTGTGTTGCTGTTGTAGAGTGTGTAAGAACTGAGGTGACCTGCTCAGTGGATCAGCTGGTGGAAGTAGTACTTCAAACTGCCTTGCTTCAAAGGGGAGAATTTGGTTGTGTTTCTGAGGATCTGGAAGTGTGGCAGTGGATGACGTGGTGGGATTTTGAATGCTGAAAGTTGTGCAATGTTTCCTACTCAGTAATTGTTTGGTTCCTGCAGAGAGGGCAGTTGCAAGGGTTGACTTGGTACGTTCTAATCATTTCTAAAGCTGTGGTCAGATACAATGACAAGGCATCTCAAGGTTTGGCAGGTGGGAAAATCTGGGGTTTAATTTGGTGACATTGTCATAATAAACTGTTTCTTTCCTCCCTCCGAAGAGTCATTTAGGCAATGTCTTGGTTGATATGAAGCTCATTGATATCAAGGACACTTTACCTGTGGGYTTCATCCCCATCCAGGAGACAATTGATACACGTAAGTTGGCATCTGTTCCTCAGTCCCACTCTGACAGTGCCTGGGTGGGCAGGAGGGCTGTGGCCCAGGTACAGGGCTGTGTCCCAGGCCATGGAGGATTGTGTCCCAGGTAGAGGGTTGTGTCCCAGGCCATGGAGAGTTGGGCTGTGTCCCTGGCCATGGAGGGTTGTGTCCCAGGTAGAGGGTTGTGTCCCAGGCCATGGAGGGTTGGGCTGTGTCCCAGGCCATGGAGGGCTGTGTCCCAGGCCATGGAGGGCTGTGTCCCAGGCCATGGAGGGTTGTGTTCCAGGTAAAGGGTTGCTCTTGGCACTGCTGCTCTCTGGGATGGCATGTGCACATTTAGGGGCAGCTCTGGGCTGCAATGAAACAGCTTTTGTTTTTCCTGTACTCCTCAGGCTGTTTAATGGGGCTGGCTGTGTGTCTTTGCTTGCCTGCTAGAGTCACACAGCTCCAGRGCAGGAAGGGACTGTTGTTCTTTTCATTTTGAAGAGTGGACTGGGCCTGGCAGGAGCAGAGTGGCTGTGCTGAGGGCTGTTCACAAATGCACTGAAAGGAAGGCTCCTCCCAGTGGGTTGGAAGTGGCTGGTTGGAATCCCGTAGCACAATGAACTGACTGGTTGTATCACATGCTCCCAGGTGCATTCCTACAKGCAGTGCTTGWGGGAGGAATGTTTAGTCATGGCTGYCCAGRCCAGTGAGGCAAACATCACCTGAAAGAGGAAGGGAGTGTGAGAGACAGGCAGAAGGGGCAGAGTCACTGACTGTCCTGTGCTGTGGGCCAGCACTGGGGCACACATGGGAGCTGATCTGTGCAGCAGGCAGGAGGGGATCTGGTTACTGCAGTGCCACTAACACATCTCCTGATAGAACATTCCTCACTGAATGGCACTGCACTGCATGGTTTGTTGACATGTTTGTTCTTTGGCACCAGTTCTGCCATGATTATCTGTGTAGTGTCTGGAGAGATTATAAATAACATTTATACCCTAATCTTGCATGAAGCCCACCCTGTATTCTGGGTTGTTTTTGCAGAAGAAGTAGCTTTCAGAAAGAAGAGGCTGTGCATTAAATTCATCCCTCGAGATTCTACAGAGGCAGCAATCTGTGATATCCGARTCCTGGGGAGGTCTAAGCAAGCCCCTCCTCAGTACACGTTCATAGGGTAAGTACCCCTCACTCCTGTGGGGTTGTTGTGAATGTGTTGTACCAAAGCAAGGCACCCTGTGCTCCTGTAATTACCAAGCAGTAACGTGTAAGAGCTGAAGTTTGTCATTAGAAAACTCCAAGTGTTAATGTGTTTGATGTAGGAATTAATTTGCCTCCCCCCTTTTCTTTGAATTGCACTGATTGTCACTGACCAAGGTGTTTGTGAAACACATCAGTGCCCGGTGCTGGTGCACGTGTGCAGCATTTGTTTGTGCCATTGATGCTCTGTGTCTGGCTTCCCCAGGGAGTTGAACAGCATGGGCATTTGGTACCGCATGGGCAGAGTTCCTCGCAACCACGACTCTGCACAGCCTGCAGCTCCTCCTGCCCCAGCTCCAGCT